TGAAAGCGTATCAGTCCCCAGAACACAAAAGCTCTAACCTAAGTTCAGGAGAGACATAGTCGTGGGTGGGATCATTCTCCTAACTTGAGCAGGTCCATATGGTGACCCATGTACTGTGCCTACAAATCCCTTCTTCTGTGCTCTCTTGCTCCTCAGTCACATAGGAAGGACTTGAATGACTCCCTAGGAGCCCCATTAACCTGACTCTAGGAAGATGTCTGTGTGCACATGACTGCAAGAACATTCTTGGGGTCGCTGTAGGCTCACCTGCTGAAGGGCTTAACCCAGCCTGGTGAGTGTGAGTGCCCACTCTGACCCCACCCTGCAAGGGCCACCTGTGGTGAGAGCAGAGGAGTGTTCTCTTGCGACCTCTAGTCTTTGGTCTCAGAACAACTGCACAGCAAAGGATTCCCCACTTTTTAAAAGGTGTAAAAGGTGCTTGTTGAAAGACAGGAAGCAGCTGGGGATCAGACTGCCCTCTGCTCTTCTGACTATGGAAACAGTGGGCTGAGCTGATGACAAAAGCAAGGAAGAAAATTAGGTCTCCATTGCAAGTGCTCTTGTAGCTACTCTTGATTGGGTCCTGTAGAAGCATCCTCTTGGTAGACCCAAACAGCACAGAATTGGGCCTTTGTAGACACGTTCCCCATTGTGTTGTCATTACACTCCTTCCTCATTTGAAACACTGGCCCCAAAGAACAAGGAACCAGGTAAGTTCCTAGCTCTGCTTCAGTCTAGTGGCAGGAGACAGTGGCTAATGGCAAAACAGTGTAGGCCAGTAGTGTGGGCTAGCTGGCCTCTTTCTTCCTGTCAGTAGCTGCTCAGCCCAAGAATGTAAAAGCCATAGAAAAAGAGGGACCAAGGTGAAGCAGCTTCAGTCCAAAACCAAAGGCTTGGGAACTGTAGGGTCACCCTCGGGCAGCTATGTTGGAAGGCTAAAGCCACTGCAGACTGATGTTCAAAGGCAGTGGCAAAGACTGGCATTCTTCAAAAATGAGGACACTTCTTTCTTTCCCTTTTTCATTCCATCCAAGCAACGAGCCTATTATTTGGTGTGCCCCCCACCCCAATCTAGCATGTGTTTTCCTCAGTTTGGGGGCCTACCTGTCAGTCATCCACAGACACCCAGAGCTTGGCTTTCTGCATCTGCTGGGCACTTTCTAATCCAGTCAAGCTGACACATCAGTTAATGGTCACAGTGATGCAGGGCACTGGTGGGTGGATGAAGCCCCTGGGCACATCCTCCCACGTGTGCTGGGCAGAGTCCAGTCTAGAAGCAGTGAGGAAGCTCGGAAGCGGCCACATGTCGCTTTTTCTGGAAGGGAAATCAAGCCTCTTTTATCCACTTGCCCAAGTGCTGCTGAGGAAATGTGGACTGGGTAACTTCAGAACATTTGTATATCTCTGTTTGCAGGCCAGCTTTTTATTTGGTTTAGGCTTCCAAAATGGAACAGAAAATTCCTAGATATTTTAACCTTAATATAGCTCATAAACACCACAGTATTTCTCATTCTATACAGGTGTTGGTTCTGCATCAACACTGAACAGTTAGGAGAAAGGGTTGGGACAGTAGAGTGGTAGAATCCACAGGATTTTCTGATGACTTTTTAGGAGAGAAGGTGGGGTCATAACTTTCCCCCCTTAGCTCTCTATTTTTCTGTATCCCTTACCTTTTGCCCTTTATCTTCTATTTAAAAGTAATTTGCAAATTCAGCATCTTATACCCAGTGCTATAGGCTCAACGCCAAGTGGAAAGTGGAACTCTGTGCTTCCACGTTAATGGATTTCCCAGGAAAAAAAAAAGTACCTATTACTCAGAACCATGGGTGCTTCAAGAGTACTGCGGGACAGCGTGGAAGTTACGAAATGAGGATTTCTTAAGCCCCTCATCTGTGTTCTTGCTGCCATGGAGCTCTTCCTCCTGTGCTGGTCAGCCAGTGACTCCACATGGTTCTGGCTCCTTGGTCAGACTCCTGGCTGTGGTGTCCCTGGTCTGGCTTTGGTACATTGACCTTGAAAAGGTTACTTCATCTTTTGGGCTTCAGTGTTCTCATTTGTGAAAAATAAATGGTGGCACATAACCTTATGCTTATGCTGTGATAAGTGAGGAGACAGATGAAGCCCAGCGACTGGCCATGAAAATGAGTCAATAAATGCAAGCCAGTATTTAGTCTTGTGTGCCAAAGGAGGTGCCTTAGAGGTTAAACAGAGACTGTTGTTTCCACATTGGCTGTGTGGAAAGCGCCAGTAACTGTGCACTACGCTCTAGAAGTTCAAAGAAAACTGAAATCCAGCAGAGAGGTGGTTACTGGCCACAGCCAGCAGATTTTGCATGCCCTGTGGCTCACTCTGGTTCCTGTTAGCGCATCCCCCAGCCCTCTGACCCTCCCCTTCCTTCCTTGCCATTTAGAGCCACCAGGCCTGATTGTGACACCACCTGGATTTGATTGGCTTCTTTTCAAAGTGTGTTCATGTTTCTTATTTCATTTAATCATTGCAAGAGTAAGACAAATTCCCTCATTTTTCAGATGAAGAAACTAACGTGCAGGGAAAGGTAGAGAACTTAGCAGGGTCTTGAGGCTGCTGATGCCTGATTATCTTGCCGTTTCCTAGGCACATGATACATGAGCCTTCACAAAATATTCTTAACTCAGAGCAAAGCACCCAGAGGCATTAACACTGCTTTCCTTAAGTCACAGGTCTCTTCCTTCTGCAATGTCACCTCCTCTGCAGAGATAATGTTTCCCAGCTCACCTGTTTCTTCAAACCCTGATAGAAAGAACTTTAGACTAGGAGCTAAGAAAGAAGGCTGTCTAGTCTCAACTGCACCACATGAGTCACATGACCCTCTTGGCCTGTTCCCTTCTCTGCAGTGAGGGCTGCTCTCTGAGTCTGTGAGCCTGACTCTGTTTCCTGGGGACATAAATGTCCAGTAACATTGTCTTGCACACCACCCTGTCAGGTGGCCTACTTCCTAGCACCTTAGCTATAATGTGGCCCCTTCTCTGGAACTCAGGAAATAACCTTGACTGTGCTCTGCTGTATCAGAAAAGTACGTAGCATGTGAGAGGGAATGTGTTTTCTGGTGTCAGGTGATTTGAACACCTCACAGTGAACATGCTGAGGCTTGGGCAGGAAAGCCACCTCTGCAATATTTCCATTCTGATTCAGTAGCAAAGTATAGGTATCCTGGAGTCGTGTAAAGTGCTGCAAGGCCAGGCATGGTGGTGCACACCTGTAATTCCAGCACTCAAGAAGATGAAGCAGGAGGTTTGATGTCATTTTGAGACCAGCCTGGGCTACAAAGTGAGCTTAAAGCTAGCCGGAGCTGCATAGTGATAACCTGCCTGAACAAAGTGGAAGAAAGAAAAGTGGTTGGATTGATTTTAGGTCTAGCTCTGCTAGAAACCCTGGAATGAAACAACCCTCTTCTCATCCCCAAGTTTCTTCCCAATCTTCTGGTTTTATTACTAATGGACTTGTGACTAGACAGATGCCTGAAACCCAACTCTTTCTCCAAGCTTGGTGAGGGTCTCTGGGTTGATACTGTTTCTAAGAGTTGTTTTAGCTGAGATGCTTAGATGCTGTGGATTTTTCAGGAAAAGGGTTGGGGGAGGCTATGCCACGGGATTGTGTGTATGTTAGAAGCAGGTGTGACTGTGGCCAGCATTAACTGCCCCTGAATTTTCTTCTGGCCTTGTAGTTCAAAGGATTGCTGCTGAGGGGAAGGAAAGGATTTGAGACCTTAAGCAAGCACTTGTGCTGGCTCCCTTCTTGCCTCTGCACTGTGCTGCCTCAAGTCACAGCTTTCTAAACAGATTAGTGAGGCTACCACATGAGGGCCCCTGGAGGAGGTGTGAACTCCTCCTCTGTCCTGGGCCCAGCCTCAGTCAAGTAAGCTCTTTGCCTTTTACTCGCTTCATAAGGAATGTTGTGGACAGTCATTACCGGCATCAAATAAAACCATGCATGAAAATTTTTACCAAAAAAATGAATGAGCAAAACCTTTCCACAGTAGTTAGATGTGCCGTATTGGGAAAGTCCAGCCAGGGCAGGCAGGGATCATAGTCACAAAGAGAGAGGCTGTAGTGTGCACAGTTGATACAAGTAAATCTATTAACTTTTCAGTGCCTGTGGATCTTTTTCTGGTGGAATTGACATGAAAAAAATTTGACTCGAGAATCATGTCAATGAAAGTAAAATGGAAAATATTGGAAACAGTTGGTCTGCTGAGGCATGATGGTACATACTTATGATCCTAGCATGTGGAGGGCTGGGGTAGGAGGAGCACTGTGAATTCAAGGCCAGCATGGGCTACATAACAACACTCTGTCTCAAAAACGAAAGTTCATCTGTGTTATATTTTTTTAAGGTAGACCAAAATACTAGGTTTGCTTAATAGAAACTCAGGATTCTCAGCCAGTACTGATAGGACACTGAGGAAACTCTTTGGGAGCATAAGCAGTCAGAACTTGGCTAGGAGTAGAGCCACAGAGCACTATACCCTGTGTTTACCTGGCACCAGGAAACAGCTGTTTGCTTAGTGACATTGGAAGCATGTTGGCTGGTGGGCCACCCCACTGCTTATACACTTCCCAAAGCCAGCTGCCCAAGCTGCAAGGGAGGCAGAGTATGCTTGGGTGAGGGAGTGGCGCCCTGTGAGTGGGTGGGGAGGCCGGGGGGGTGCCGAGGTGCTGATGATTCCTCCCAAGGGTGATCCTGCCGGGCGGTGGAGGCTGGGAGGATAAAAGGCCCTGTGAAATAGTTACTATGGGCCTTTTATAGGGAGAACACTAGTGAAAGCTGAGCCAAAGCAAGTTACAAAAAGGCACAATCTTGGTGACTTCATGAAGGATGAGGTGGGTCTAGGGTCTGCCAAGACTGTCCTTGTCCAAGCCGATGCTGACCCACACGGCTGTTGTTGTTTGAACGTGTCCACACCTTTTATGGCTATACCAGGCTTGAAGACCATAATTTTGTTCTATCTTCCTGTCTTTCAGGTTTCAAGTGCCCCATTTGCTCCAAGTCTGTGGCTTCCGATGAGATGGAAATGCACTTTATAATGTGTCTGAGCAAACCTCGCCTCTCCTACAATGGTAAGAGCTAGGCCTGCCCTACCTGCCTCAAACTCACTGTGGGAAGCTGTCCGGGTCTAGAAGGAGTGTCTGATTGAGAGGCTCTGTAGAGAGTTTCACCACCTTCTGCCACAGATGCTTGTGAGGTGGCAAGGAATGCACTGTTCCAAAGAGACAGAGGAGTGGGCTAAGAAAGCAGGCCCAGCGTTACATCCTTGCCTCCATCCCTGTGGACCCTAGTTGAGAGACACGGCCATTCCTTTGCCTGTTCATGCACTGCCTGTGGTAGGCCTCAAGAGCCGCCAGGGGACCAACCCTCCATGATGCAGGGCAGCCTGGTGCTATGGTACTCATAGCGCTGAGTAGGCTGGTCATCCCTCCTGGCTTTGCAGCTCAACCGAGCATCTGATTGAGCCTCAGCTCCCGAGCAGAGTCTGTGGGATTAGGTGCTGACAGATGGCCTCATTGCTATACAAGGGCTAACTTGGAGGGGCCTTAGAACTGAACACTTACCAATAACTGATGCTCCTCTTTCTGCAAAAGCCAGAGCATAAGCTCGGCCCAATCCTAAAAAACAAAAAAAAAAAAAAAAAAAAAAAAGTCAGCATCTGCCTAGTATGCTGTGGGTAAGAATTTGGAGTCAATCTGAGCTCCATCCTTCCTGGACCTCTTACACACTACGATCTCAGACAAGTTGCCTGGTTTAGTAAGGCCCAGTTTCCTGGGTTCCCAGATGGAGACAGCAATCCCTGGTTTGTGGGATTCTCCAAACTAAGATGTCACAGAGCCTGTGTCTGGTCAGCACTTGCGAAGCTGGCAATGGTGAGGCCATCTGTAGTCCTAACTTGGTGGTTTTCCAGATGGAGTAAGAGCGTGGCACAGGCTGTGCTGTGGAGGACTCTGGTTTTTCCATTCCTGTATTTAGTTCTGTCTCTGAACCCTGCTCATCAGAGAATCCTGTCCTCTACCACAAGGACAGGTAGATCTGAGGGCCACTGTCCATCCCTCTCCTACCTCTGCAGGTCCAGCTTCTTGGGGTATAGTCCGAGCAGGGGCTCGGAAAAGAGTTCAAGGATTTCCAAGTCTGAGGACTCATTTATCATGACAGTGGCTATTTCCTGGGGACACTCTCCTCACACAAAATATGACTTTCTCACACATGCCAGCATCAGCCTAGAGAAGGCTCATTATTCTGAAGCGATCCTGGGATGTCAGCCTTATGAATTGGAGCTGCTTTGTTCTCCTAAAACATTCTACTGCACATGGAGTGTCCTTTACCTGAACTGCTTGTGACTAGAAATGTTTCAGGTTTGGGGACAGTTGCACAGATGTTATCAATTGAGCATTTCTGATTTGAAAATCTGGAGGTTCTTTGAGTGTTATATGTACCATCACTCAAAAAAGTTTCAGGAACTGAAGACTTCGATCAGTGGTACAGTGAGAGTGCTTGCCTAGCATGCGCAAGGCAGTCCGGTGCTAGTAGGTTCAATGCCCAGCTCTTCCCCCCCCACCCCCACCCCCCAGTTAAAAGTTGAGATTTCAAAGAATTGTATATTTTCAGATTAGGGCTGCTCAACCCATATTCTTATATCTCCTACTTGCATGTTCAAAAGATTCCATTTGAGGGCAAGTAGATACCCACCGATCTCAGCTTCCTGCAGTCTCGTAACCTCTGCCCAGGTTGGGGACCAGCAACAAGGCAGGCTATGCCTTGTTCCTGTTCCCAATGTTTCCTTCCCCTTTATGTCCTGCTCAGTGTTCAGAAGCCCCTTTCCTCCCAAGTGAAAGTTGCCCAAGGACTGGAGCCACCATGCCCCTGGATCTGTTGTCACATGGCTTCCTGCTTCCCGTGCCCAAACTCAGCTTTGTCCCTGTTGGCCATCTCTGCCTGGGACCACAGAGGGAAAATCATCTTCCCTGTGTCTCACGGCCCCCCTAGACTATGACTTCAAATGCTGTATTCACTTCTATCTCACATGTGTCAAGACGTCATGAAGACCTTTTTGTCCTGTGGGCTGTTGGGGACAGTGCTCTGTAGACACTGCCTTTGCTGTCTTGCTACACAAAGATGCCTCAGAGGGGGGTTGGTCTGAGAGAACTTGGCTCTGGGAGTCATTGAGGAGAAGTTGGCAAGAGCAGCTGTGGAGGGCAGAGTGCCCCTGGGGCCTCTGTGAGTCAGGAGTCACCTGCAGGCTGCCGTGGAGAACGGGGGTCTCCAGCTCCTTTCCCAGAGAAATGCTTTGACATCCCCAAGTGTCCTCAGGTCCTTCTGTCTGGTACAGCTGGTCTGTCTCCTCCACACACGCAACCTGGGGAAGGGCAGGTTGGCACCTGGAGGCACAGCACTGCTGTTCTTGTTCTCGTTTTTTTCCTCTCATCTTGCACTTAAGAGGTCACCTCTGCTGTGTGTGTGTGTGTGTGTGTGTGTGTGTGTGTGTAAACTAACATCTTTAAACTATTAGGCTCTCACAAAAGGCAGACCTTGATCCCCAGAGGCAGAGGGCAGTTGCCTCCAGACCTGTGAGTGGAGTTCGTGTCCTCTGTACACAATGGCATGACTGCCTCAGACTCAGTCTTTATCTTTTCTGAAGATGCTTGGACATCCAGATAAGAGGACAGCATTTTCCACACAGGTTGCTGTGCAGTGGAGCCTCCGGGCAGGCACAGAGCCTATTCCAGGTCAGGTAAAGTGCAAGCCCGTCAGGAACACTGGCTGGAGCTTCCGAGGCAAGAGCCCTGAGCTTATTTTGATTTTGCCAGTAACATGTTCTACCCACAATTTCTCATCATCCCAGTCTCACCTGCTCACATTTCCTTTTCTACTAGGGGAAAAAAAAAATGTGAGAAGACTTGTCTCAAAGGTGTGGGTTCTCGCCATCTTTTTAGAAAAGGGGGCAAGATGAAGTTTTCTTAGATGATGAAGGCATGCTCTTAGGAAGAGTCCCTGGAATTCCTGGTCACTGTCCTGGAGACAGCCTGTCTACACACACACACCTACACACACCTTCCACAGTTGCTGGAACCAAGTGTGGAAATTTTTAGAAAATTTAGAATTTAGTTAACCACCAAGGAAAGAAGTAACAGCCTCTTCAGTGAAGCAGATAGAAAGTAGTGTTTTTCTTATTATGAGGGTTGGCCTGAGTAGGAGATTGGAAGCCCTCCAGTAGCTGCCTGCCAGATTTCTGAAGAACCAAGGAAAGGAAAGACTAGTTTAACCAGTTTAGCGGAGCTCCCGGGGAGAGTGAAGACCAGCACCTGGTGCTCCAGGGCTGGAAACGGCTAGGAGGTTGATGAACAGCAAGGCACCCGTGGAGGGCAAGCCGGTGCAGCGCAGGCTGCTGCACCCTTGCCTTCCTGAGGCTCTGAGGGCAGCCTTGGGTGTGAAAGGAGAGAGTGCTCAGCCCCCATGGGCTTTCCATGGCTCTTTTTTAAGAATCTCTATGGCGCTGGGGCTGGCCTGAAAACCACACTTTTTTATTCATTCATTCATTCATTCATTCATTCGTTCTTATTTATTCTGTTGTGCTGGGAATTGAACCCAAGGTCTTGTTTATGCTAGGCATGTGCTTGATCCACTACTGAGACACAACCTCAGCAGTCTCTCTGCACAAATTTTAATCATCAGATTGCTCACTCAGTACAGTGAGTTCAGGCCCTTTTACCCTGAATAGAGTAGAATCATAGTACTATGGTGCCGGTTAACTGACAGCTTAAGGGTGCTGTTCTGAGGCCAGCCTAGGCTCTTTGGTGCTGAGAGATTGGGGTAAGACAGGTGGTTTACAGCAGTCAGAAAGAGTGTGGTGCTTCAGGAGGCCCTCCTTCCAGCTCCGCTGTGGGCCGCAGGCCCAGGTCTGGCTTCATAGTCCACAGTGCCCTCGCCCTCCTCTTCCAAAGGTCATTGCCCTGTCTTGAGGGCTCTGGTAAACATTGCTCAAACTTTCTTTATAAAGAACTGGCTTCCCTAAAAGCACAAAGCATCCTGCTAACACAGACAGAGTTTCCTGCCCCTCACCTGTCTGCCCTGAGTTACTGACCTGTGTGAACAGGTGCTTGGTTGTCCTTGGCTTCTGCTTTCTGAGCCCTCGAGGTTGAGGTGGAAATGCCCTCCCTTTCTCAGCCTAGGGAAGCTCGAGCCCAGTTGGGGAGTTGGCCCTGCCCCAAGTGGAAGCTATTGTTAGAAGCTACAGCAGTGGCTGTAGTCTGGCAGCTGTGGAGGTGTCTGTCCTGATGCTCCTGCTGGGGGAGAGGAAGAGGGAGGAGGTGGCGCAGGCAGGTCAGGCAGTTGCTGACCAGTTGCACTGTCAGATTGTCCAAACAGGATGCACGAGGTAGGGAGCCTGTATACGAGGCCTGCAGGGAACCAGAAACTGGTGACCAGAAAGGCCCTCTGCAGGGGCCTGTGACTGTGAAGCACCCAGGCTTGCCCTGTAGCAGGTTCTCCCCTCTCTCCTCATTGCAGCCTAACTCAGTGTGACAACTGGTTGCACCTCACAGTTCTCGGGTGTTGAGATGAGGTGCTGCTGGGAGAGGGCACTTTGCTGAAGATGTCCCCTCTGCCTGGAGGATGGTGTAACTTGGATGTCCCAAGGAGGGAGCTGGCAAGGCCTGGCCTGGTGTCACTGCCATGTCTGGTCCCTGGTAGGCCAAGCCAGTAGCTCTGCACATGCTGAAGAGAGCCCAGGACCAGCCACCGTTTCACACCTCAGCTGGAAATGGGGCCAGCGCCTGTGTGCCGCGTTATTTGCTGAGGGTTCTTCTCCCTCTGGTTGCCACCTTCCCACTGCACTGGGCACAAGGGAAGCACATATGCATGTCCCTCCTCTCACTGCTGACTCAGAGTTCACACCAGCCTTCCGTCCCTGTCAGGCAGCAGAAATGTGTCTTTGGCTCATTTCCTGAAGCTCCTGTGCAACCAGTAGCTTTGAGGTTGCTCGAAATGCTTTTCCAGAGCTCTGTACAGGGTAACCAAGCCCGGAGGGCACTAGCGCCTCCCCTTGGCCTGCCCTGGCACCTCCTTAGGGCCCCTGTGCATACTTCGCAAAATGGGAAAACTTGAAGCTGTGAAATGGGTGTGTTTTTAAGTCCTGTGGGAAAACACTGGTGCATCCTGGTCCTTCAAGGGGAGCAGGCCTGGTGGCCGGTGGGAGTACCTGGGCTTCTGTGTTGCAGCCACCCAGCTGCTTGAGTTTATCCAAAGACCCTCTAGCCTAGGGCTTTAGGAGTCCTTGCGTTGTCCCTTGAAGTTCTGATGTAGAGCTAGCCCAAAGAAGTGAGGCCGCTTTCATTCTCCTCCTCCTCAACTTCTTTTACTTGACAAATGGCACCTGTCAGAATTACCGATCTCAGAGAGGAAGCAGAAGTATGCCACCACCTCCACCCAGCCTGCCACAGGCAGGCACACCTCCTCGGACACCAGAGAGCTTTGCGTGCCATTCTGGGTTGGTTCTGTGATACATGAGGGAATGTGTTATCTAGCACAAGCACGTGTACACACACACCCGCAGTCGGGCAGTACTCCACCCTAGCCCTTGTGGTGACATTGGTCAGCTGTGTGCACATAGTAGCAGGAAAACTAGGAGGCGCCTGAGAGGCTATAGGGAGGCAAAACCCAAAGGCAGGAAGCTCAGCTTTGAGCCTCCATGCTCATCATCCGGGCTTTGGCAAGCCGCTCCTCCAGGATCTTTGGCTTTGTGCTGTGGGATCCCTGCTGTGGCTTTCCTCTAGCTCTGGGCCGTGGGCTCTGTCAGATGAAGATGGAAATCTGGAAGGGAATGGTTGAGAGCCAAACTTATGCTTCAGCCACTTCTGTTCCTTTGCTGTGACCCCAGGAATACCGGGAGCTGCTGATTCCCAGAGTGCCAAGGATTGGGGCAGGACATTTTACTCAGCCCACATGGCCTTCTTGTGGGGCTGTGCTCCTCCTGCCTCTGCTGTTGAATGCTGACCTGAGTGCTGGGCTAGGTGCTGGCTGCCTCAGAGTTACTTCTGAAGTTCTCCTCTCTGCTCCCAGGAACGTCCAGGTGGCCTTTTGTAACCTTGGTCCCGGTGAAATGGTGCTCCTTGCCATGTGCCAGCCTAGGAGGACAGCCACACATTTCAGTTCTTCCTACCAGAGCTGCAACCTCTGGTTGGCTGGCAAGGCGTGTAGAACCGCTTTGGGAAATGGCCGGGAAAAGGCTGCATCTGACCCTCAGGAACTCAAGTCTGGAGCCCACACTAGGATAAGGAAATGAACCAGCTCACACCTTTTGCCCTGTTGCCCTCCCCTGTTGGCGGACAGTGTGGAGAGAGGCAAGCCCAGGCCTGCCTTTCCTGCCCCATGTACGTCAGGTCTGGGGGCCACATGGGCCCTCTTGGAGCAGATGCACTAGAGAGTGAGTGCAGCCTGTTTGGGAAGCTATTGGGGACCCAGAGAGCCTAACTCGGCCCTTAGGGACACAGCTCAGTTAGCCAACAGTAGGGGACATGTGAGAGGAAATGGCTTTGAGGTCAGTGATGTGGGCAAAATCGATCTTAGTTGTGGGTGTGGAGGGGTGATGAGCAGTAGGGGGTGCAGCTCCCTAAGTGCCCTATTGGGGTGAGATGCCTGTGACAGGGAATGTCTGCAGGACAGTGCCACCTTCTTACTACAGCTAAACTGTCTTTCTTGTCACCTCTGTTGAGGTTACTTTTCTCCAATATTTTATTGTGAAAAATGCCCAATGTACAGCCAAGTTGAAAGCATTCTGATATGAGTACCTGTCGCCTTATCCCCTAGCACTTTACTGCCTGTCTGTCTATCCACCATCCCATCTTGTCCTTTTGATGTACTTCAGAGTAAAATGCAAATTGGAACTTTAAAATGTAAAAGTAGTGTGTGTTCAGACATCTAAAGCTTACAAAATCATATAAAAGTATTTTCTGGGGACCCTTCCAGATCTTTCCTTTGCCTATACAAATATCTAAGTACAGAAGGTAGCCAGTGCTCCAAGACCATAAGATCTTCCTTTATGTCAGTGTGCCTTGTGCCACATTTGGAGTATGAGGTAACCTTCCGGTGGCTGACTGTAACATCTGTTTTCCGTGTTCATATCACCTTCTCCAGTGGTCCTTGGGTTAGCCAGGTGTTAACTGATGCGACCACAGGTTGTCATGGTGTCCAGGAAGCCATGTGACTTCTGTTTTATGTACCAGACTTCATATTATGTACCAGTATCATACAGGTTCTATCTTGTGCCTTTTCCTTGGGGGGAGGGCGGAGTCACCAGAGCCCTCTAGGCCATGAAGAACCCTGACTTTGAGAGCCTTCGATGTTTCTTTTTCTACCAAAATAATCAGAAGACACAAACAGCACTGGGGAGGTCATCTGAGCAGAGAGTCCCTGGCTATGGCCCAAGGTCACCATTCTCAGGCCCCTGATGCAGGCAAGATGTGTGGCTTCTTGGGGCTTCCAAATCCTCATTTGCAAAGTGGAAATGACACCTGGTGCCTTGTTCATAAGATTATAAGGCCAAAGAAAACCCACATGGGGATTTTTAGAGTATACACCTTTAGGCAAAGGTGCAGATGCGAGGTCGTTGATTGTGGGACGTGAACTTGCCATGTTTCTTCATGGCATCGTTCACTTGCTCCATGTCTGTCCTGTGGTGCAGGGAGCTTCTGGGTAATCTCTTCAGGTCACTTCCCTGGACGTCTCTATCCCACCTCTCCACCTGTGGCCCACAGCTCTGTTCTAAAGCCCGCATCTAGACTTCAAAAGATTCCTGGAGGTCTCTGAATCTCCCAGCTGACTCTGAACTCATTACTTCCTGCTCAGGCCTGTCCCACTGGAGTCCCTCCAGTGACACTGCACAGTGCCTGCGTGAGCTCCCCATCTTGGAGCTTATCCAGTGCTTCTTGTAACTTCTAGAGAGGTGGTCAGGGTACACCTCCATGCCTCTGCGTTAGGCAGACCCGACCCAGCTGCACAGCGGAGCAGGAGTCCCTCTTCAGGAATGGCCTTCCTGGCCCCTGTGGCCTCAGTTGCCTCTTTGCTCCTGTCTTAGTGGTGCCACTGTTCCTATTGCTGGGAACCTACTCCCTGGCAGCCTCTGCCTCTCTGCCCAACTCATCGTGGCCTCTCTAAGGTCTTCCCTAAGGCTGGCTCAGCGGCATAAGCATCTGCCTGGCAAGAGCAAGGTCCTGAGTTTGATACTGCATGCTGTGCTGACCCCGGAACCCCAGGTGTGCTGTGCTTGCCCTGAAGCAAGGTGTGGTGGTGTATGCCTGTAATCCCAGTGCTGGGGAGGCTGAGACAGGAGGATCACTATGAGTCTGAGCTGCATAGCAAGACCCTGCATCGAAAGAATAAAAAGTGAAGTCTTCCCTAGATAGTCGCTGTCCCAAGCAAGCACCTTCCACTCCTATCATACCTGCACCTCTGCGCTAAAAGACTAAGAATTACCATTCAGTGCGTTTCGGTTTCCTTGCTTTGCCTCCCCAGCTAGCCTGAGTTCCTGACGCCCGGAGGCCCAGGCTTGGCACTCTTGAGGGGCCATTGCACGCGATGTAGGGAAGCGCTGCCGAGCTGGCAGCAGTGTTTGCCCTGTTGTGCTCGGGCCTTCCCAGACGGGCTCTGCTGCCTGGGTAGGAGCTACCTTCATTCCTTCTCTTGGCAAGGGGAAGTAGATTGTTCTGTTTTGAACTTGTGATGAAATTCACACAAGCTCAGCCATGTAAAATGTATAACTCAGTGGCATTTGGGCATTCACTGTCGCTTAAAGGTGAGCTACCCTTACTGTCTGGTTCCAAACATTTCATCACCCTGAAAGGAAAGCCTGCAGTGTGATCCCACTTACAGGAGCCATTAACATGATCAGATGCATGGAACCAGAGAGACTGGTGTTTGCTACAGAGGGAGGAGGGAGAAATGGGGCTGTGTCAGGTTTCACTTACACAGGTGAAAAAGTTCCAGAGATCTGTTATATAACATTGTGTATTTAAAATTTGTTAAGAGGAGAGATCTCATAGTATCTGTTTTTGCCACAGATTTTTTTTTTTTGGTACCGGAAGTCAAACTCAGGACCTCATGCTTGCCAGGCAGGCCTTGTGCTGCTGAGCTAAATCCTTAGCCCAGAAAAAGTTTTGTAAAAAGAAAGGGAAGGAAATTCCTTATCCATTAGCAATCATTTCCCGTCTTCCTGCTCCCAACTGAAATCTGCCTTTTGTTTCTGTTTGTCTATTCCAGATATTTTTTTTATAAATGAGACCAGAAAGGAGTGGCCAGATTTATGCCTGACTTCTCTCACTTAGTGTTATATTTATTGAGTTTCACCCCCATTGTAGTGTGAGTTGGTTCTTCCTTTTCTTGGTGGCATAGTATTCCAGTGTGTGGACATACCTTGTCTGGTTTGTCTATTTAGCAGTTGGTGAATGTTTGGGCTGTTTTCTACCTTTGGGTGCAGTGGATCGTGCCACTGTGAATGCGCACATCTAGGTATTTGCTTTTGTAGCTCTTCCTCTTATTCTTGCCTCAAGCACCCTGTGCAGTCTCGTGCTTTTCCAAACCAGAAATCAGCATGCCTGGAGCATGTGTTGGGGGGAGTATAGTAAGGGAGCAGCTCGCCTCGCACTGCTGTCCTTGCCTCTGTCCCTCTCTTCATCCTCCACACCTGGGCCTTCAGTTAATCCATTTGGAATTAATCCCCTTTTGTTTTCAGGTCCACATCACATGAGGCACCTGTCTTGTCTCCTCAGTGAGGGTCTTTCCTAGGGTTGAGGTCCCCTCCTGGGCTCTGTACCCACAGATTCTGGCAGTTTGGTCGTCTAGCAGGTTCTTAGACCTGTGCTTGCTCCGTGCCACCCACCTGCCAGTCACTAACCCTCTTGCTTTCCTTGTCCCTCCTGCAGATGACGTGCTGACTAAAGATGCGGGTGAGTGTGTGATCTGCCTGGAGGAACTGCTTCAGGGGGACACGATAGCCAGACTGCCCTGCCTGTGCATCTATCACAAAAGGTACGAGGAGCCCCGCCCAAGAGGCGGCACAACCACATGCCACATCCCCAGGGGCACAGTAGACCCCTGTCACGAGCCTCTCTGTGCCTCTTCATCATGGGACGGCCTCTTCTCCAGGGGGGCCCAGACTGCCTTTAGGAAGATTTAAGAACCCCAAGTACAGGGCAGAAGTAAATTGCACAAGATTTAGCTCTGCTCTGATGGCTTGAAGGGTGGGAGTAAGTGGGAAGACTGGAGCCCCACCCATTAGGGGTCCCGGGGATTCCACCGGGTGTGTGACGCCCCCTTTGTTTCCCTGAGCCTGTCCTTCCTACAGTAGCCCCTCTGCTCTGGCAATGGGGAAGGTAACCCTGCTGGCCTGTGTGTGCCCTTCTCCCCAGAGGGCCAGGAGGCAGAAGGGGCTAGGTGTGGGCTCTGAGAGTGGCTGCAATGAGTGGGCTGAGGGTCCTCTCAGCTCCAGCAGGAGCCACAGGTCTTGTTTCCAACTGGAAAGAAGACTCTTCTTTGCCCAAGATGGGAGGACACCCTGTGCTCGGCAGTTGCTACCTGCTGTCTGCTTTTCAAGCCCAGAGCTGCTTCTTGGCACCAAGTGGGCCTGACCTGAGGCCACTGTTCTGCAGGATGACAGCCCTGCGTGGCCCGGGGACGTGGCTAGTGCAGAGCCCGTGGTTGAACTTGGGGAGAACTGTTCTTCTTGGTCTGGGTCCCAGCAGCACACAGCCCTACAGTGTCCCAAGGCAGCACTAACTGGAACCAGAAAGCAGAACTCTTCCTGGGGGAAACTTATGCAAATTACCTGTCTGCTTCCTGTCTTTAAAAATGCCCAGATGTTGGTTTACGTATCAGGAAGCTGCTTTGGGGCTATGGCTGTTCCTTTTTTTTTTTTTTTTGGCAGAACCGGGGATTGAACTCAGATCCTTGCATTTGCCAGTCAAATGCTTATCCTACTGAGCCATCTCCTCAGCCCCTATGGCTGTTCCTTTTTGAGGCAAACAGTGCAGTGTGAAGCTTGGAGACGAAGGCTTCCTGGAAGCCCCTCCCTGACTTGCTTTCTACTTTCTAGGCAGTGTTTCATAGCCAGGGTCCCCTAGCCATTCCTACCCTCATGGAGAGACTTGGGATTCTCCTGAGAGGTCTCACATTGGGGAAGTGGTGTTGCACGATCCTGAGCTGGGCCCTGGCCAGCTTGCCATCTTTGTCCCCTCCTTTTTCCTCAGGCTTTGGAGATAATTGGCCCGCTAGCTGACCACAGTACACACTCCTCCAACCTGCACTGTCACCCCAGTAGTAGTTGCTGCCCTTCCTGCAGCACCAGAGCTACCTGAGCTTGTGTCTACCCCTGCTGACCCCTGCTGAGGCAGGGTGGTCTCTGCTCTTCCCTCTCCCTGCTCCAAAAATAGGGAGAGGGTCGTTTTTTCCACGGGGTCCTTTCAGGAGAGATTCAAACAGCTTTTGCTTGGCAGTCTCTGAGCTAACGTGTGCTCCCCTTGCTGCTCCCCACCCCAGCTGCATAGACTCGTGGTTTGAAGTGAACAGATCTTGTCCAGAACACCCTGCGGACTGACCCTGCCGGGCTTGCTTGCTGAATCCTCTCAAGGTAAGCCCATGCTGAGGGGTGCACCGGGCTTCCGTGACACAGCCTTCCAGGAGAAAGCAGGGGTGAAGCAGCTCCTCAGTGTGTAGTCTCCTGGGGTGCAGAGGCTTCCTGGGGAAGGATGCGAGGTATACGTGAATGAGCACAGGACTGTGAAAAGCCACTGGGAAGAGGAGGAATTAGGTGGGGGAACCCCAGTGGATTCTAGACATCCATGGTGAAGCTTCTGAGAAAAGCTCAGAAAGACCCTGGGAATGGACACCAGCAGGAAGAGTGTGGGCTCCAGGTTTGCAGCTCCGCCCCAGCCTTGCTCACCTCTGTCTTCTCTGGTGACCCCAAGAGAGAGCCCTTCCTTCCCTCTGTGGACAGGTTCTCAGTAGACACGCAGGGCGCCATGGGTTGTCCACTGCAAAGTGCTTGTCAGCGGCCTCCCATGCCCCCTTCCAGATAAATGTGAGACCCTCCTGGTTCAGTGTCCGCCCCTCACTTCCTCCTGTGTGTGTGCACAGGCCCAGGGTCACCGCTGGTTTGGCTCTCGTTCTGCCCACAGACACCTTGCTGTACTTTGTCCTCTGCCTGGCCTGTCCCTGCTCAGTTCTAGGCTGGCGTTTTCTTCCTCCCAGCAAACAGATAAAACAGAGCCCCAGAAAAATCAGAAAGTCCAACTCACTTCATGTCTCTCCCATCCAAAGGTGTTGGGGGGCTCTCTTTCTTCTCTCTCTGTCTTTCCTCCATTTTGTTTTCTTTCATTATGTGTATTTTATTTATTCCAAGTAAATGCCCAGACAGCTGATGATGTCAGGCAAATCAGGGACATTTGCTCTTGCACCTTCAAACACTGGTGATAAGGAGAGAAGGAACAGTAGGGCAAGAGCGAGGCTGAGGGAGGGGCGCCTGGCCTGGCTTGGGGTCCTCGTGCCTGGCAGGATGTTTAGCTCCAGGGGGACTGAGCAACAGCCCCAGCCAGCTTGCCCTTGGCGGGACACTTGCTGCCACCTCGGGATGCAGCGGCCACCCTGGGCTGCCCTGCGCATGACTGACTTGTTCCGATCCCCACAGGGACACACGGCCCCTGCTCTGCGAGAGGCTCATGGGACACTGGGGCAGAGCTGAGCTTGGGACACCAGTGGGCACGGGCCACTCCTCCTGCACTGACTTGGACAGCGGTTCTCCCTCCTCCCTGAGGACACCAAATCGCAAGAGAAGAGCGAATCGACTGCTTTCCTTCCCCTCCCCCCTCAGCCCAGGAGGGAAAGGGCATTTTCTTTTTCACCTTTGAAAGGCATTGTGGGTCTGTCTTTAAAGTGTTTACAAAAAAAAAAAATTATATAAAAAAAAAAGTCTAGTGTCGACTGGTGTTTTCCCTCGTGATGTTTACAGATTGCTGTTTGCTGCCCAGCCATAACCCACTCGGTGACAACCGGACATAGCCACAGCCTCGCCACTAGCGCTCTGACGGCAGGTGGGCACACACAGTCTCATCCTTTGCCCAGCGCCCGGGTTAGCTCTCTGCATCTCCACCCTCCCTACTTTGGTTTTTTTTTGTTGTTGTTGTTGTTGTTATTGTTTTGTTTTCTACTTTTTGCCCATTTTTCTGGCTGGGTTTTGCACTTTCTTCCCTTCGAGACCCTGACTGATACCTTGATTTCTTTGCCAAAACACACAGATGCCCGTCCAGGGCGCTCTCCCACTTCCCATCCCATGTCTTACTCTTTTTATCCTTTATCCTCCTGGTTCTGGTCAGTTCAGAGGATTTAACAATCACAAGTGTCCTGCAAAAATGCCTGAACATTTTTCTTAGGCCCTTGTGGATTTTTTTTTCCCAGAAAATTTAAAATAAAAGACTTAACAGGAGAAACATGTCCTGCTATCCCTGTTTTCAGGCACTCTGTTTGAGAACATTTTAGCCATTGATGTTCACATGTGGCATTGGCCCATGCAAGATAGGTTTCTGTATTTATATATTAAAATACAAAAAAAAAAAAACCTCATAAAATGTTTAAAAAATGTTCAAAGCTTGGGAGAAAAGCTTTCTTCATCAGTCAAGGTGTTTTGATATGGTATTAAAATGTCTAATAAAAGATACACTGTGTGGTTTTATTTTGATGAAGTATTGTTAGAGAATAAAGAATTGAGGGTGGGAAGTGAAGAACTGGGGGCAAAGCCCATCTTCCAGCCCTCACCTACTTCAGCATTCCTGCAGGTTTTCACTGTTGTCGCCCATTAGCAGGGAAGGGGTGGTTCTTATGGAACCCTCTTGAGTGTCATGGAACCAATCACCATCACCTGTAGAACAGCCAAGATGGAGCTTTTCTGGAAGGGTCTGTGGGAACAGAGCTCTTGGAGCTCTGAGAGGTCACCAGGACATGGTTCCTGCAGGTGCCAGGCCTGTGCTCCCACCCCCCATCCGAGTCCCAGTGCTGACTCATGGGCATGCTTCATTGAGGCCTGCAGAGGGGCCTGGTTTGAGGCTGAGCCAGCTCAGAAGCCTTAACCACCCACTCGGGTTCACAAAAGTTGGCAAACTGCAGGCTGCACAGGAAGCGTAAGGCCAGGGGCAGTGCTGGCCCAGCTGTCTCCAAGCCAGGGAGCTGCACTATAGGGTCTCCTGCTGAGCTAGCCAGGGAGGGGTTGAGGATGGACAGAGACCCCACACCTGTGATCTGACCTCTCCCAGGCCTGCCTGTCCTTGGTCCTGTTGCTTCAGGGCCTAATCTTGCCAGGGCATTCACCTCCCTCAGAAGCACTACTTCCTGGTGCCTACTTTGTGCAAGGGCATTCCCTGCAGCCCAGTGGCCACACCCATTGTGTTCAGAGAACTGAAGAGTTGTGGTTCCAAGTCTGGGCTTCCCTGGCACCCTATCTGGGGTGGAGACCCAGGGACCTACAAACGCTGCTGTGAGAAGTGGCAGCCAGCACAGGGGCACTGTCTGCATTTGAGCTGTACTCCTTGGCAGCAGGAGGAAATGACTTCATGCATCTGAATGTCGATTGTTTGCATGTGAAGTGAGGACAAAATCATACAGCTCAGAGGTCACTGCAAGGGTCGGGATCTGCCCCTAAGGCCTGGCACATGCGCAGCAGGCTTCCTTGTAGCTTTGTCACTGCAAAGGGCACTGTTCTATTCAAAGCACCTTCTGCTTCTGCCTGGCAACTGTGTCTCCCTGTTCTATATTTAATTCCACCAGCAAAACTGGTGGGGCAGGGCCCAGCTGGGAAGATTTCCTTGCGTGACCCCTGGATGCGGAGGTGGAGGCTCTGTGTGCCCACCTTGGCAGCCTGAGCCCAGCTGCCTTAGAGGTGCCACAGTGAGCCAAGTGGTTGTGCACCGGGTGAGGCGGGTCTGGGGCCCAAGCTGGGCGCTGTTCCAGGGCATCTCCATCCTGGGTGACTTTCCTCCCACCTGGCACACTGCAGCCCTCTGCTGGCGGCCACATGCCCTGAGTTCTGACCAGGTTGTCAGTACATGTGGGTGGGAGCGATGTTTGTGATCTCCAGCCAGTCAGATCTCCAGAATCCTACGTTCTGGAGGATTCTGGAAAGGCCCCTGCCCTGCCCTTCTGGGAGGGAAGAAAGAATGGAGAGTGCTCACTGAGCAGCCATTTAATAGTGTTGGTGTTTGCAGGAGAATGTCCTTATTCCTAGGAGATAGGTGCCGAGTTCCATGGGTGAGTGTTTTCAAGAAATGTGTACTCTAAATGACTCCAAGATACACAAGGTACATAATACAAGTGTCATCAAATCATTAGTAGTTGGTACTACAGTGAATGGTGGTTCCAACTTTTCTGTATGTTTGGGATTTTTCTTAATAAAAGAATCTGGATACCTGGCCACTTGTGAGTACTCACTAGCTGCTGAGCCCTGGAGTTCATTCACATCAGAGAAAAGCCCTGCCAAGGTAGAAATGGCCACTGCAGAGTCCCGGGGGTGTGGGGGGAGCAGGGGCTGTAAGGGGTGGGGCTGGAGAGCTGTTTGTGTGGTGAGTAAGCTGGGATGCTGTGGGGAAAGGGCTGATGGGACTTGCGAACCAAGCCATCCTTGGCTCCCAATCAGGTCAGCCACACACAGGAATGTCACAGGAGAGTCCTCAAGCTCACATCTGTCCCCTGTCTGCTAGAGCCCAGCGTGAATACAGAAAGAAGCGTCGTAAGAGTGGCAGCCTCTGCCCAGGGCTTTATGAGGGGTGTTAGGGTCCCAACAGGGCTTTGGGGTGAGCAGAAGGGTGCTGTTGACCTCTGCTGTCTCTTCTGTGTCCTTCACCAAGAAGATCAGAGGTCCCCTGGGTTGGGGAAATGGACAGCACTGTAGTCTCCTGGGATCTTCAGGAGTAGGGACTGGACTGACCACCAAGCCCCTTCTCTAGTCCTGGGAGGTGGGTGGGTGGGTCAGAGCTGAGAGCCCCAGGCCTTGGACAGAAGAGTGAGCCCTGGGCCACAGCTACCCAGAGCAGACGCCGAATGTCTGAGCTTTCCGGTGTCAGGCGCCCTCTTGTGGGCATAGGGGGGATCAACTACCGAGTACACCGATTTATAGCTCTGGCCAGGGATCCCAAGACACATCAGGCTGTACCCTGGCCTTTGAGAGAAAAAGGTGCTAGGACCATACACTGAGCCACAGGAAGATGTGGGACAAAGAAGATAATCTTCCGTTTCTCACAGATGGTAGCAGCTGCTTGAAGAACTTTCAGGATGTTCTAAGGCCCAATTCGGGCCTGGTGAGGCTATCATAAGTGACCTCCACCATGGGGGAGACCCCTGCCTCAGGTTCTTGGAAGCACAGTAATTGGGACAAGGACCTAGCTTCTTCTAAACCTTGGGTGCCATCCCACTTCCCAGGCCACCCTACATTGTAGGACAGACCCCCCCCCAAAAAAAAAAAAAAAAAAAAAAAAAAAAAACAAATGGGTCACTGGCCCCAGGACAGGAAATCTGGAGGGGAGAAATTGGCACTCTGGGAGGAGCTGCCTGCCGGTCTCCAGACAGTTGCAAATGTACTTCAGGTTCATGTGGGGCACCCTGAAGAGAAGACCTGCCACCTTTGAGAGGGCCCTTTCTGCTCTAGGAAGGAGTGTTCCTGTCACCAGGTACAGGTAAAGGTCTCAGGAAGCTTGAGCTTCAGTCATGAGGTGACCCACACCAGCTCTCCCAGCCCGGACAGATGCATAGAGCAGAGAAAGCAGCTTCCTTTACTGGTCCAAAGGTTCTTGAGGGCAGCAAAGGGAGAATGAAGGAGCCCAGCTTCTTTCTCTGCCTTCTGGCCTTAAGCCCCAGCTACACCGTCCGTCCTCGTAGGGCCAGTATTTCTAGAAGAGGCTGTTTTCTGGGTGCTTGCAGGCCAAATCTGTGGAGGTCCTCACAGCACCTTGCCTGGGTTCATGAGGCCTTGGGGGTCCAGCATGACCTTGAGCTGCTTCATGGTCTGCAAGCCCACAGAGCCTACCTCCTCCTGTAGCAACTGCTGCTTGCCCATTCCAATGCCATGTTCCCCGGTACATGTCCCATGGAGTGCAAGTGCCCTCCTGCGACGTCATGAGAGGGACCATCAGCAGGTTCTTCTCCTATCCCTCGTGTCCTCCCCTACCCCACGAGGCTCCCACCTGCCCAGCTCTTCTGCAAAGGTCGTGACTCTCTGGAGCTCCTCGGCATCATCTGGGTTTACCAGCAGGAGGCAGTGGAAGTTGCCATCACCCACGTGGCCAACAATGGCTCCTGGGGGCCCAGAGGACAGAGCAGTCACTTGTGGCCTCACCTGCCCTTGGCCCAGGCACTAGTGAGCCCCAGTACCTTCCCCCTCACTCCAGCCACAGATGGACAGAACCTGTGAGTCCTGAGGCCTTCAGCTTCTCCTTGGTGTGCACCAGGATCTCTGGCAGCCTCGAAATGGGTACACACACGTCGGTGGAATAGGCCTGGTCAGAGGCAAGCCTGTGAGGCTCTCCCACCCTCGGTGATGTGCCAGGCCCCCACACTCCACACTGCTGAGCTCCTGCAGATGCTGCCTGGGACCCAGCCTCCCTCCCGGGTTGGACTGACCCCTTCCTCTCCATGTCTCTTCCCTCTCATGTTTACAACCCCTAAGACCCCAGCACTGCTGCAGCATCTGATTCACAGGGGGGACTCCAGGGATGGGCAGACAATGGTCCTTTCCTTCTAGGCAGCATCTGAGCACTGGCTGGGTGGTGCAGTCCGTAGGTGAAGGTTGTAGTGATGCCCACCCAGATGTGTGCCCCACCCCTCACCTTCCACCCCTCTAGGCCTCAGCCTGCTGCTGTGTACAGCAGGGTAGGGGGCTGAGGAAAAGGATCATGGGCCAAGCTGTGGGTGTTCTCCTAGCCTGGTCCCAACTCACCTTGTAGCCTGGAGCCAGGGCCAGAAAAGCGTACCAAGCGTTGTGCCGCGCGGTCCAGAGCCGGCTGCGCTCCTCTGCTTTCTTGGCCCAGGAGAAGTGGGAGGCTCCGTTGTGCTGCGTGATCACCTCTGCAGTCAGGAAGAAAGGTTGACTGTGGGCCTGACACTGGGGAGCCCTGGCCCCGTGGCCCACAGCCCACCCCTCCCCAGCACACCTGCCCGCTGCAGGTGCTCTGCCAGGGCCTGCTCAGATCCATGGAACTCAAGGAAGAGTGTGGGCGCCACAGAACAGTTCAGCTTGCTGTACCTGTTGCAGGCGTCCATCATGACATCATCCAGGAACTCTGGGACCAAAGAGAGGGGTGGCCAGGTGAAGCCTGCCCTTCTGAGGCCCCTGCGCTGGTAACCTAGTTAGCCGCTCACCAATGCGAGCCACAGGCACCGCCGCCTGGAGCATCTGTACAGTGCTGTCCACCGCAGCCTGGACACTGGGGAATGCACAGGTGGCAGCCACCGTGGCTTCAGGAGTAGGGTGCAGACGCAGAGTGGCAGATGTGATGAGACCCAGTGTCCCCTCAGAGCCCACGAAGAGCCCCGTGAGGTTGTAGCCTGCTGCAGTCTTCCTGGGCCCCAGAGACAAGGTGGGTGAGTGCTTAGATTGTGCACTAAGAAATTTCTGCCCAGAAGTCAGGAGCTGGAAGCCACTGCACCATCCCTTAGGCGGCCATGTCTCGGCTGGCCTCCTGTTTCCCTGACTGTTACTCTACAGCCCAGATCTGCCTTTTGCAGGGACAGTGAGCCCCAGTAACATCCACTGGCCCATTTGCCAGGCTCCAGGGCTCACTTGTCCATCCAGGAGGGTGGCTGGAGGAGGGAAGCCCATCAGCCTGTTTTCACTGGGACCCCAGGCTAGAGGCAGAGGAAGCGCACCTGAAATGACGTCCCTGGCCTGCAGTGTGAAGCAGCCTCCCATCAGGCAGCACCACCTCCAGGTTGATCACGTTGTCACGCATGGTGCCGTAGCGCACTGCGTTGGTGCCTGAGGCCCCAGTGGCTGCCATGCCACAGAGAGAAGCATCTGCACCTGGATCTGGAGGGCGGAGAGCAGGAAAGGGCAACCCAGGCAGGGAAAAGCAGGGTCCTCTGAAGCCAGATAGCCCAGCCCCCAGGCAAGGCCTCGGATGTCTGAGGGAAGGTGCTCAAGCCCCAGGCCTACCCACGGGAAACCAGAGGCCGCAGTCACGCAGGTGGGTGTTCAGAGCTTTACGGGTGACACCGGGCTCCACCACCACAGAGAAGTCTTCTGAATTCAGCTCCCTGATCCGGTCCATGTGGGTCAGGTTAATGCACACACCGCCCTGGAGGCAAGCATGCTGAGAAGGCCAGCTAACCAAGTCTCAGGGCCAGGCACAGCCCACAAAGACCCTCGTCCTTTGCAGGCCACCCCCCCCCCAGCAGCCAGAGCAGAGTCCCAGGATGGCAGGTGGGCATGGCCGCACACAAGACAGGCACGACGACACCAGACCTGGGGCACCCACTCTACCTGCAGTGCGCAGACTCCCCCTTCCAAGCCAGTGCCGGTGCCAAATGGGATGATGGCTACGCCTTGGCTATAGCACAGGGCTGCCAACCGGCTGACCTGGTCCACATTCTGGGGCCAAACCACGACATCAGGAGGATGGCACCTGGAAGCAGACCTGGGCACTTTGGAAGGTGCAGCAACTGGTCCTGCTCATTTCAAGGAGCCAGGAGATGTTGCAGGGCCCG